CAGAAGAACGATTTGATGCGAATGAATGTTTCCACTTGAGTCTGAAAATATTCAAAGTATATTACAAAATTTGCTAACAAGCTTACTGTAATGCTAACTGGCACCTTCTCTGTAACTCGCATCATCAATTCGAAACAACCATCTGGGAAAATGACCCTGCTGCAATCCACTGCCCTGTTTCGATAACAAATGGGCAATGGTACGCCTTACATTTGAGAGGTTAAAGCGTGTGCAGATCGCTCAAGAAATGACCAGACAACAACATCGACAGCCTCATCAGCCTGCAGCTCGTACCGGCAAAACGATATCAGGTCACTTCCAAGTGTCCCCGCTTTTGGCAGATATTGAACTGAAACGAGACTTTGGAACCATAGCCCTAACTGTCAGCTGTAATTTCCCAAAATAATCACTTCAAATTTTTACAAAAAAACCGCTTTTAAAAAATCTGGTGCTTCCAGGGTAACTTCGGGCAACCAAAAACCTATTGTGAATCAAGGAAAAGAGAAGCAGCTACCACGCTTTTGTGCCCTGTTTTTGAACCATGTTTTACAGTTGACAGCCTTACGACAACTTTTTTAGACCATTATTTTGTCCTGTTTTACTTGTCGTTCACCCTTTCCCATTGGCAATCAGTATTCTGTACCGGAGAACCGAGGGTAGCTTACACATAGCCGTCACCGACTCTCCGTCTGTTTATGTTTTTCCACAAAAAAAAAAAACCCAGGCCGGAACGCACCACGCGAGCCGGTGCGATCATGCGTTTTAGCACCAAACTTGAAGTAATCAGGTTAACTGCATGAGTGGTTGTTTCTTTACACCTACCTTGTGCTCTCAATACCGCAAATAATCATAAATTCTGCATAAAAGAAAATAAACAATTTCCGTTTAGCGGCCGTTTTTTGAAAATGACCCAGGCGTTCAAAGAGTAATTTTCCGCCAAAAATTAAAGTGCCCGTGCACGAGAACCACGAACGCCTGGGGGCTGAATTCGATAACTTTAAGTCGTATATGGGCTGGGGACATCAACTTGAAATTTCAGCCTCCCAGCTTTGCTGGTTCTCAAGTTAGCCACTTTCCAGCCAAAAAATTTCGCGGGGTCGTACGTGAGGTCCGCGCATGCCTGGGAGATGGATTTGATAAATTTACGTCATACGTAGACTGGGAAAGTCCCCTGAAAATTCCAGCCTCCAAACTTCGCTAATTCCCGAGTTAGCCATTTTCCCGCCAAAAAATTTCGCGGGGCCGTACGCGAGGATCGTGCTTACCTCGGGGAGGGGGGGGGATGAATTTGATAAATTTAAGCCGCACGTGGGCTGGAGAAATTCTCTGAAAATTTCAGCTTCCCAGCTTTACTAATTCCCGAGTTAGCCATTTTCCCGCCAAAAAATTTCGCGGGGCCGTACGTAGGAACCGCGCAAGCCTGGGGAGTGAATTTGATGAACTTAAGTCGTACATGCGTTAGGAACATTCCCTGAAAATTTCAGCTTCCCAGCTTTGCTAATTCCCGAATTACCCATTTCCCCGCCGAAAAATCTCACAGGGC